TTTGGTCGGTCATGGGGCCTGAACTCTGGGCCTGGGCACTGTCCCTCAGCTCTTCAGCTCAAGGCTAGAGCTCTACCACTTGAGCCGTAGCACCACTTCCGGCTTTTTCTGCTTATGTGGTGCTAAGCAATCAAACCCAGGACTTCATGCATGCAAGACAAGCACTCTACCACTGAGCCACCTTCCCAGCTCCAAATTCATAACATTCTTAAAATGTATATTCTTACTAAACTGTACACATTAAATGTTTGTAATGTTTTATCAATTTCACCCAAATAAGGCTGTTAAAAAACACACACACAGCATGAACACTTATTTTTACTTTATAAGTAAATATTTAATGAGTTATATTTTATTTCAGAATCTTACAAGGAAATCAGATTAAGTCAATTACAGAAAAAGCATTTCTTGGCCTTGAGTCCCTTGAACATTTGTAAGTATTTTGCATATATCTGTTGACTGTATAAAGCACCTTTGCTGTTAGCAGAGGTTGTTACAAATATGTAAAGTGTATAACTTAAAATTTTTTTTCTATTTTTAAGTAGTTGTACAAAGAGGTTACAGTTCCGTAAGTCAGGCTTATGACAATGTTTCTTGGTTACTGTTACCCCTCCTTTGTTCTACCCTGCATCCCCTCCATCCCAGCTGTCAAGTTACAAGGTTGTTTTTACATAATGTACATTAATGTAATGACGTACTCTTCCTCCACTCATGTCCCCCATTGCCCTCCCCCAAACATGTTTATATAACTTAATTGTAGAAATGGTGACTCATAATTTTTCATTTCTGTCATTTCAGAGATTTAAACAACAATGCTATTATGTCTATCCAAGAAAGTGCTTTTTCTCAGACTCCCTTGAAGGAACTGTAAGTGACTAATGGTGTTTGGGTTGGTTTGGTTTCGTTAAAACATTTTTTTCTATGTTCGTGCTTGTGTTTCCAGTAATGTGCAGTTCAGGCAGAAGGAGAAAAACATATTATTAATTAGTTATTTTAGTGGAGGAATGTAGTTTAGAAACGTAAGTGTCACAAGATATTTTTGTATTATTTTTCCTAGACTTTAATTGTAAGGG